AGTATAAGCTTTTCGGATTAGAATTACTATATAGCGCGTTCTAAATAAAACTTAGTATAGGCGTTATAGATAGTAGTACTAACAGGTAGCGCTCCGGATTAGACTTACTATACGCCTTCTTAATAGTACTTAGTATTGTAAGCGTTCTAAATTAGACCTATTATAGGCGTTATAGATGATAGTTAGCTTATCCTACGCGTTCCGGATAGTACTACTCGCTATAGATATTCTATAGAGTACTCGTAGTAGGCGTTATATAGGCCCTATAGGGTATTCGCTATAAATAGTTCGAATGCTATTTAACTATAGGCGTTTTAGATAGTATTTGCTATAAGCGTTCCGGATAGTACTACTCGCTATAGGCCTTCCGGATAGTGCTTAGTATAAGTATTTAGTTTCGGATTAGACTTAGTCTTACTTTATACATTCCGGATAAGACTTTCTATAAGCGTTTCGGATTAGACTTGCGTATAGTATACGCCTTCCGGTTTATATCGGACTAACTATACTAAGCGTTTAAAATAAGGCTTGTCCTACGCGTTCTATATAGTACTACTCGCTATAGGTATTCTATAGAGTACTCGCTATAGGCGTCTTTAGTAGTATTTTCTATAGGTGTTTCGGATATAACTTGCTATAGGTATTCTAAATAGCACTTACTATAGGTATTTTAGATAGTCCTGCTTGCTATAGGCGTTCTTAGTAGTACCTGCTATTAGCGTTCCGAATTAGACTTACTATACGCGTTCCGGATAGTATCTACTCTACGCGTTTCGGATAAGACTTAGTATAGGCGTTTCGGATTAGAATTGCTATATAGCGCGTTCTAAATAGAACTTGGTATAAGCGTTATAGATAGTAGTACTAACTATTAGCGCTCCGGATTAGACTTGCTATACGCGTTCCGAATAGTACTTACTAAGTTACTATTATAAACGTTCTAAATCAGACTTTCTATAGGCGTTATAGATAGTAGTTAGCTTGTCCTACGCGTTCCGGATAGTACTACTCGCTATAGATATTCTATAGAGTACTCGCTATAGGCGCTTTATAAGGTACTCGCAGTAGGCGTTATATAAGGTACTCGCTATAAGTAGTTCGAATACTATTTAGTAACTATAGGCGTTTTAGATAGTATCTACTATAAGCGTTCCGGAAAGTACTACTCGCTAAAGATATCTCGGATAATTATCGCTATAAGCGTTTCGAATATTACTACTCGCTATAAGCGTTTTTAGCAGTATTTGCTATAGGCGTTTCGGGCGTTTTGGATTAGACTTACTATAGGTATTCTAAATAGCACTTGCTATAGGTATTTTAGATAGTACTACTTGCTTTAAGCGTTCTTAGTAGTACTTACTATTAGCGTTCCGAATTAGACTTGCTATATACGTTCCGGATAGTACTTACTCTACGCGTTCCGGATAAGACTTAGTATAAGCGTTTCGGATTAGAATTGCTATATAGCGCGTTCTAAATAGAACTTAGTATAGGCGTTTTAGATAGTAGTGCTAACTGTTAGCGCTCTGGATTAGACTTACTATACGCGTTCCGAATAGTACTTACTATTATAAGTGCTCTAAGTTAGCCTTACTATAGGCGTTGTTAGTAACAGTTAGCTTATTCTACGCGTTCCGGATAGTACTGCTCGCTATAGATGTTCTATAGAGTACTCGCTATAGGCGTTCTATAGGGTACTCAGAGTAGGCGTTATATAGGGTACTCGCTATAGATAGTTCGAATGCTGTTTAACTATAGGCGTTTTAGATAGTACTTACTATAAGCGTTCCGGATAGTGCTGCTCGCTATAGTCTTAGCCTATAGGCCTTCCGGATAGTGCTTAATATAAGTATTTAGTTTCGGATTAGACTTAGACTGAATTTATACATTCCGGATAAGACTTTCTATAAGCGTTTTAGATTAGACTTAGTATACGCGTTCCGGTTTATATAGGACTAACTATACTAAGCGTTTAAAATAAGGCTTGTCCTACCGACTCCTACGCGTTCCGTATAGTACTACTCGCTATAGGTGTTCTATAGAGTGCTCGCTATAGGCGTTTTATAAGGTACTCGTAGTAGGCGTTATATAGGGTGTCCGCTAAAAGTAGTTCTAATGCTATTTACTATAGCCTATAGGCGTTTTAGATAGTATTTGCTATAGGCGTTCCGGATAGTGCTACTCGCTATAGATATCTCGGATAGTTACCGCTATAAGCGTTTCGAATAATACTACTCGCTATAAGCGTTTTTAGTAGCATTTACTATAGGCGTTTCAGATATAACTTGCTATAAGTATTCTAAATAGTACTTACTATAGGTATCTTAGAAAGTACTACTTGCTATAGGCGTTCTTAGTAGTACTTACTATTAGCGTTCTATATTAGACTTACTATACGCGTTTCGGATAGTACTTACTATACGCGTTTCGGATAAGACTTAGTATAGGCGATCCGTATTAGAGTTACTATATAGCGCGTTCTAAATAAAACTTAGTATAGGCGTTATAGATAGTAGTACTAACTGTTAGCGCTCCGGATTAGACTTACTAAACGCGTTCCGAATAGTACTTAGTATTATAAGCGTTCTAAATTAGAATTCCTATAGTTGTTTTCGATTAAAGTTGCTATAAGCGTTTTGAATTAGACTTACTATACGCCTTGTAGGCAGTACTTGCTATAAGTGTTCGGACTCGGAAAGAACTACTTACTATAGATATTTCGAATAGTACTCGCTATAGGTATTCCGGATAGCAATTACTATAGGCGCATTCCGGCTCGCTATAGGCGTTTTTTAGGGCACTCGTAGTAGGCGTTATATAGGGTACTTGCTATAAATAGTTCGAATACTATTTAGCTATAGGCGTTTTAGATAGTATTTGCTATAAGCGTTCCGGATAGTACTACTCGCTTTAGGCCTTCCGGGTAGTACCTAATATAAGTATTTAGTTTCGGATTAGACTTAGACTTACTATATATATTCCGGATAAGACTTTCTATAAGCGTTTTAAATTAGACTTGCTATACGCGTTCCGGCCTATATAGGACTAACTATACTAAGCGTTTAAAATAAGGCTTATCCTACGCGTTCCGGATAGTACTACTCGCTATAGGTATTCTATAGAGTACTCGCTATAGGCGTTTTATAAGGTACTCGTAGTAGGCGTTATATAGGGTACTTAGCGCTCGCTATAAGCAGTTCGAATACCTATAAGCGTTTCGGATTAGACTTGCTATACGCGTTCCGGTTTATATAGAACTAACTATACTAAGCGTTTAAAATAAGGCTTGTTCTACGCGTTCCGGATAGTACTACTCGCTATAGATATCTTAGATAGTTACCGCTATAGGCGTTTCGAATATTACTACTCGCTATAGGCGTTTTTAGTAGTATTTACTATAAGCGTTTCGGATATAACTTGCTATAAGTATTCTAAATAGTACTTACTATAGGTATTTTAGAAAGTACTACTTACTATAAGCGTTCGTAATAGTACTTACTATTACCGTTCCGAATTAGACCTACTATACGCGTTCCGGATAGTACTTACTATACGCGTTCCGGATAAGACTTAGTATAAGCGTTTCGGATTAGAATTACTATATAGCGCGTTCTAAATAAAACTTAGTATAGGCGTTATAGATAGTAGTACTAACTATTAGCGCTCCGGATTAGACTTACTATACGCGTTCCGAATAGTACTTAGTATTATAAGCGTTCTAAATAAGAATCCCTATAAGTGTTTTAGATTAAAATTACTATAGGCGTTTTAGATTAGACTTAGTATCCGCCTTATAGGTAGTACTTACTATACGCCTTATAGGTAGTACTTACTATAAGCGTTCTAACTCGGAAAGAACTACTTACTATAGATATTTCGAATAGTACTCGCTATAGGTATTCCGGATAGTAATTACTATAGGCATATTCCGGAAGTAGTTACTATAGATATTTAAGACTATCTTGCTATAAGCGTTCCTAATAGTGCTCGCTATAAGCGTTTCTAAATAGTGCTTTCTAATATCTATAACGCGTTCCGGATTAATATTACTTTTTAGTATTAGCGTTTTAGATATAATTTACTATACGCGTTTTAGATTAGGCCTACTATAGGCGTCTAGATAAGACTTTAGCTACTCGTCGCCTTAGGCTTCTCGTGTGGCTCTTCGAGCCACATAAGCCCTAGTGGACGAATGATGGCCGGGCGTGAGCATCTTGGAGAAGAAAATCTGCGTGTCCTGGCAGATCTGCGAATCTTATCGCATCTACCCAATATGGAAATGTTGATCAACGCATTGGACGAGCCACGTGTGTTGCTCCTTCACCGGCAGAGATTCGTGTCCCTGGCCAACGACATCTATCCTCGATCGCATGCATACTTTCAACGTGCATCCGAGGAGTCAGGCTGGAAGCCGGTGATCAAAGATCTCTTGAACGCGGACACTTATCACGTATATTTCACAGATGTGGTGCAATGCGAACATGACGAGACTTGCGATGCTGTGAGAGATTATTTTGGAGTTCATGAAGCAGATCCTCGGTCAGAGTCTTTCAAGTATCCCTTGAACTTCGATTTGGATGGTAATGGGCATTGGGCTAGGTTCTATCGACTGCTGGCTTTCAACTCTCTGCCATTGAAACAGACTGTGTTCAAGGAGTGGCATGACGATAGACTCATCCCTTGGGTGCATTACGTTCCGATATCGCTGGCGATGGACGAGCTACCAGAAGTGGTGAGATATCTGACCGAGGAGGAAGAGGGCCAGAAGATAGCGAGGAAATTGGCAGTCAATGGCCAGGTCTGGAGTCAAAAATCTCTCAAGCCAGTTGTATATCCTTATAGGCTGATGCTAGAGCTTGCGAGGATAACAGATCCAGATCGAAAAGCTGGAGAGTCATGACCTACAGCGCGTACTTGAATAGCGGACTCTTGTCTCCCATCCGCTCAAGCTCTTCCTCCCCATACCTGGCTATTGCCTCTTGTTTCGTTACATGCTGATTGCGCTTATTGTGGGTCCAGTACAAGAATTCGAGCAGGAGCGCAGCAAGAATGCCAGCGCTGGCGAAACCAAGCGAGCTGCCGAAGCCCGTTGGATAGCGAGGTGACTCTTGTTCCAGAAAGATGAAAGATCCTGGGAAGCCTCCACAGTTTCCGATCATGATCATGAAGCCAATTCCCGCCGCTCTTTTTTCGGCGCCTGCCAGGTTGTTGATCGTCCAGCTGTTATTGCCAGGAATGATAGGGTACAGACCGATGCAGACCAGGCACACCATCACGTAGCAGAGAGCGATATTGTTCTGGATTTCGGCCGCGAAGGAGTAGAGGACAGAGAAGGAAACGACGACTAGCAACTGGTGTCCAACGATAAATGGCACTACGCATTGTCAGCTATGTTCACTTGAAGATCGGGGGCAGTGGTAATTTACTTCTCCAGGCCAGTTTGTCCGCAACCAGTGCCGATGTCACAGCAGCAATTGCGCCGCACAAATACGGCGGCGCAGTAAGCAACTGAGCTTGTGTACTCTCAAAGCCCATGCTTCGTATGATAGAGGGCATCGTGAACTTCAAGCCGTAGTTGGGAACACTATTCGACCAGAAGACAATGGCTTGCAGGTATAGCTGCCAATCTGTCACGACCTGTTTCATGACGCGCCAGTTGATCTTCCCCTTCTTCTTAGTGCCATCCATGTTGCGCACTTTGTCCGTCATCTTCACGCCTCGGTACGCAATATGGCTGAGTTCGAGGAATCTGCTCTCTTGTGGAGTCAGCCATTTCGCTGTCGTGGGAGAGTCGGGCAGTGCGAAGAAGCAAAAAGCACCAAGCACCACTGATACGATGCCCTCGAGAATGAAGCTGCCAGATATCAGCACAGTCATTGGGGTCTTTGATCATCTCGATACGTACATCCATCTCCATCCTTCATAGTTCCCAAGACCATCCATCTGCGCGATTCCCGCGGCAAGAAGACCTGAGAAGGCTCCCGACGCAGCACTCGAAAGATAAAACATGGCCATACGTGTCTGCGTTCTCTGAGGCGGATACCATTGTGAGACCAGCCATATAGCGCCAGGAAAGAAGCCAGCTTCGAAGACGCCGATCAGGAACCTTGTGATTAGTAGACCAGCGAAGGAAGAAGTGACACCCGACAGCGTCATGACGGTGCCCCAGCATATTACAAGAATGCCGATGTAGAAGCTCGGCTTCTGAAACTTCGAAAGCAGAAGCTGTGAAGGGACTTCGCAGAGGACGTAAGGGACGAAGAAGACCATTAACGCAATGTTATAGTCATTCCCAGTCATGCCCAGACTGTCTTCGAGACCTTCGATCTTCGCATTTCCGATGTTTGCCTGCGACTTGAATCAGCACAGGGAGGGTCTCATAGACGTCCCATCGTTTCATACCCTGTCGAGATGGGCGATCAGATACAGAAGAGCCAGCATTGGGACTAGTCTCAAGTCCACTTTGTGATATATGCGACTGGCCTCCTTGGGATCGATGTTGTTGAGCCAGTTACGTTCATCTTCTGTCAGTCCAGGTTTGTATTTTGCATCCGGCCCAACTTCGATATGATCAACAGCTTCGACAGCTTTCTCTTTCACATCTAGCGATTCCTGATCGCTGCGATGTGGGCTTTGTACCATATTGACTGAGGCCAATGGCAAGGTGATCAGTACAGACACAGGAAAGGCAGGAAGAGGACGTAAGAGGAGACGGTTGTACAGACCTCCCGCTCGTCTTTAAAGGTGCTGCATAATTGCCACGGGTAATACAACCATGTGCTCCTCAATTCGCCATACCTGTCCCGAGACAGTCTGTAGTAGCTAGTCCCACATTGTGGTCACATCCAAGGGTGGGACTGTTAGCGGTCTTGCATACTGGGCACCAGTTCAAGGTCGATTTGCTCAGCTTTTGGAATCTGGCTAATCTTTGACCCACTTGCTGCAAGATCAACTGTATAGAGTCTGGGACCGCTCGTATTGAAGGCTCAAGGTATGTGGTGTGCCAATGTGGTGTCCACGTGCTGGGCGCGTGTCTTGAGTGCGGAGTAGGAGATCTTGGAATTCTTGGCTGGCTTTTGATGCCCTCGGTTCCTAGACTGGATGGATAGTAATTCGCCCTCGGAGCCTGCAAGCGTATGCAAGATTATCAAGCTTGTAGTGAAGCTGACACCGAGACTCGCCAGGCGCTTATGAATACGCCTCCAATTGCTATCTCCGCGTGAACAGCCACTTTATTCCCACCCGAAAGTGGCTACCCTTGGATGATCATATGAGTGCAGTCACTCTACCACTCTCTATTCCTAGCTTCAACGAGGCGTAGGACTTCGGCAGCAGCTGTGATGAGCATAGAAGCAGGCCGCTCGCATAGAGCACACAGCCAGTTGCCAGTGTACCCAATTCTTTCCTTGTTAGTCGACCGTAGAGAGATCGTCAATCGGAAGTCTGAGGTCGATCCCACATGGCAACATGCGTTAGGACTTGCATGTACCCCATGGGGCGAGAGTAGAGTAGGTCCACAGAAGGAAGCTGTGGTTGCATCTTCAAGGGCGTGGAAGCCAGTGGTCTTCTTATATCATGTTCCACGGCATCAGCCAAGACTATCCAGTCGAAGCAGAATAACATCTGCTCTTGTCCTGTCTGCCAGCGGTGGCCTGTTACTAGATGGACAACAGGAGGCGTAGCTCACACGAAGAGCAGGGAGGCCGATGGCCAGACCTGCAGGGTGAAACGATCCATATACGACTATGACCTTTTGCATGCGTTCCACATTTCCGACCTTGTCGGTGACCTCGACTCAGACATGGTCGATTGAGACCAGCTCGGGCTAACATCGTCCTTCCCGTACCAGACTCGATCTTTCACGTTCCATGTGTATGAGATTGCTGTATAAGTATCGATCGCCTGTGTCCGACTTGTGTGAATGGAGATAGATGGAGGGAGGCACTCCGCCTAGAATCGGACACCCTTGTCACAAGCCAAACCCAATCTCATGACTGAACCTTACTATTCCTGCCTCACCGCCACCACCGCCGCCGCCGCCGCCACCAATATGAACAGTGCCATAACAGATCGACTTGATGAACGGAAAGAAAAGACAGATCTCGATTTGGGCAACTCGAAAGACGAACCACCAACTGCTATGGCCAGGTTGTGTCCGAACTCTATTCCACTCAAGCCAGATGACGTACTGTTATGATCCTATACATATGAAGATGGCACGTTACACCTCCTGAGACGACAATGACCGCATCAGCATCACATCTACAGTCGCCTGGAAAAGCTCAAAACGGGCCCTCAGAGGCAGAGATACGACAAGAGTCATCCAAAGCTGCCCAGAAGGCCATTGAAGCGCAACAGAAGGCCAACGAGCTGAAGCAGGCTGCTCATGGCGCTGCAGACCCCGAGGAACGTCAAGAGCTCATGGAGCGAGCGATCGACAAGCAGGTCGAAGCAGAATCGTTTGGGAAGACGGCGAAGTACATGCGAAGAGGTGCATTCCAAGGCATGGCAGTTGGCGCAGGTCTGGGTTCGGCGCCAGGCTTGACGCTCGGAGTCTTGACAGGAACGCTTGTGGGCGGTGTCACCTCGACGATCACGGGTGGTCTCGGCGCTGGGATAGGAGCGCTGGTAGGCTGGATTCATGGGCCGTTCTGGAACATAGGCGAAGTAATCGGAGGCAAAGTCAAGGATGTCACGGGCTCCATACCAGGCAAGAAGGCCACAGAAGAGCAGAAGCAGACTCTAGAGAAGATGATTGGACAAATACACGAAGAAGACATGCCGAGCACGGAAGATCTGAGAGGTATGGCGAATGATGCTTGGTCAGGAGCCAAAGAGCGAGGAACGACGTGGAGTAGATCTGCAGCTACATATATGCCTGGTAGCAGAGCCAATGCCACTGGCAAAGTAAGAGATGGCGCATGGCAGTTAAAGGATAGCGCCGGACTCGCAGAAGATCGAGAGAGGGTTGATAGCCGGACTGTAGATGCTCTGACCAGGTCTCAAGGTCAGGCATCGACGCCACCTTCGAAGCAGGCAGGACAGCGGCTAAATGTGCAGACGCGGAGCACAAACAAACGCGCGCCACCTAGCTCCTCTGCTGTTCCTCAGACCCAGCCAATACCTCGCAAACAGCCCAGGAAGCTTGAGGTCAGGTCAAGCCAGGCAGATCGATCCCGATCTACTTCTAGGCCAGGATCGAAGAGGCCAAGGAAGCTCGAAGTGAGATCTTGAATACTGAGCGCAAGTTTGCATGTATGGCCCTGCTGCCTCGGCCTGGCATTTATTGTGTCGACAACAGTGGACCAGTTACGGTTCTGAAACCCCGTGTCCCATGGGCGTGAATGGCGTATGCAAAAGATATTCCACAAGGAGTGAGCTGTATTGCCGGCCTCTCAGACGCCGCCGCTGACAGCCTGGGCCGTAGTGCCAACATCGAACGACGATAGCGCTGCAGTTACCTGGGCACGCTCCGACTGAATATTCTTGTCCACGAGGTAGTCCTCAACATCCTCGCTGAGCTCAATTTTTGAGAGGAGACCTCCTTTCTCCGCTTCTCGAGCCTCCTGCAGCATGTCGTCTTCATCCAGCTCTCGTGTAGCTATCGATACGGAAGTGGAGTGTTCGGTGCTTGAAGTGGTGATTGGTACTGTGTGCACAACAGTTGCGCCAGTAGCTCCTCGAGTATGGGATGCAGTCTGACCCAGGGCATGCTCTTCGTCACTCTCGTTGTCATATTCTGGAGTCACTAATTCCTCATCGTCGGAGACTTCGGAGGAGCTGGAGTGCTCCGTCTCCCATTCGCTCTCATTGCCAAAGTCGACATTGGTCCACCGCACAGTGGATTCTTTTGCGGCTTCAGCAACATCTTCAGCCTGGTATTCAGCTTGAGGCTGCTCTTCGACAGAATCAAGATCAAGCTGGTCCATCAGAGTGTCCAAAAAGTTGGCATGTCCTACAAGCTTGCGGAGATCATGTGAACCTCTTCTTGCCTCTCTTCCAAGCTTTGAGTGCGCTCGAGGTACAACAGGTATGTACTTCAAAGTACGTTCCAATGACGGTCGTGGCATTTTTGCTTCGAACGATTCGAATGGCGTTGCAGTTGTAGGTACGAGCGATTCAAAGCGTCTTCTCGATTGAGGCGATTCTGCAAAACCAGAGGAACAGTCGAGCAACTACTGCTGCCAAAGACCTTAAGTGGCCCCGAGGAGCTCGCTTCGGTTGTGTTCGGGTCGTTTCGAATCTACCAAGCTATGTTTCATTCAAAGACCTGTGAGTTTGCCTGTCTAAAACTCACGTCAGCAAGACACATATCACAAGCATGACCAACCAAGCTTTCAAAGAGCTTGGCTGCCCATCCCACCAATGGCACTCACCTTGGAGAAGCTAAGGAGCTGCTTGCCGTACAGTTCATGTGCAAGTCCTAGGGCAGGGCAGGGCAGGGCAGGGCAGGGCAATAAAGCGTTGTTGGAGCAGAGAAGCGAAACGTGAAGTGAAGTGAAGTGAAGGCTGCAGTGGCTGCCTTTCTCCATATGATAGCACACACTTGAGGCATTATACAATATCAGGGCCCAATGACTTCACGTTTGGTGGCGTCAAAGTCAGCACGCCGCGTTCCGAGAGAGCCGCAAAACGCCGCAAACTGAATTCCACGCAGAGATCTACACATGCTAACTTCATATGTATACTGGACACGATCTCACTTCTCAAATACTGCTCTGGCCGAAAGATGTCCTGCATCAACCCGCGCACCCAACGAAGGCGTTGTACTTAGCGACACCACTTGCCGTCTCGGCCGTGATTCCTACTCCTAAGCCAGAGACGCACACCGAGACAGTGCCGGTGTTGCCATCGAAGGCTTTGGAGCGGAGGTTCTGGCCCGCGGATCGAACTACCGGGCACGACGCTGACTTGTCATCATACTAACTCAATATCCACAATTCTTGCCCCATGATACTTGATGGTTCAAAGCCCAATGCGAAACGAAGTGCCAGGTGACAGGAGAGAAGCTGCCGAATTAGAAGCAGGCGATGTGTACGACGATCGAAAGCGATGAGAATTGATTTGCGAGACTAATGATGACAAGAGATCCCAGCGGACATGCTATTCCCCAGATATCAGCACAATCGACTGTTCCTCACCTCACACATAAGGCTCCAAAGCCCCACGCTTCGAAATCTCAAACTCAGGAATCTCCCTGACAAGCGGCTTGTAACCACCAAGATCCTCAGCGCTGACCCAATTGCCATGAATCTGCAGCAGAAAAAGCAAGTCAGCAAAGACATGTTCTCTCTCAAAGGGTCACACGAACTCACCTGAGCCTTCATATGGAACGGCAACTGCACAATGGCAACCTCCCTCTCAAAATCCTTCGTATCAAGAATCACAACATCACACCTCCCGATCTTAGTCCTCTCCACCAACGCAATGACCCACCCATCCCCTTCCGCCGCCTTCTCATTCCTCGGAACGAAAACCGGTTCTTGAACCAAACTGTCATCACCTGCATAGTACCATCTCGTCTTTCCAGTCCTATGGTCGATTTGCGCAATGCCGTTCAACCCAGAAAACTTGTTCAGACCGCCAGTCGAATTCTCCTTGATAAAGACACATCCCCACACGACGTTGTACTGTCGTCCCATCAATCGTTCATCAATTCTAGGGAATTCCATGGGACAGTCGAGAATGACCCTCGGATCGGGAAGTCGGGTTCCATCAGGTTTCGTCACATCGATCTCCCAGCGTACAAAATCCACCTTCGTATCTTTGGAGGGTTCCCTGCCACTCTCAGCCGGGAAGAATGGGAAAGCATTATCGCCGATCCTAATACTCTCCGCGGTAATCTTGCTGGGATCGGATTCATCTTCCCAACCAGCAGATGTATGGGTCGCCATGCAGTTATCCCAAGTGTAATGTCGAGTTTCACCCTTTGCCCATCCGCAGGGAGGGTTCTCAGCATCTCGAGGAATGACAATGATCGTGTTTCCGCGCTCATAGTTGTAGGCCCAATGATGACCCCCCTTCTTCATGCGCTCAATGGAAGCATCGAATGGCCAAACGAAGAGCAAGAGCCAGGATTTTGTGATTACGCAGTCGTGGATAAGACCTGGACGATTTGCTTCGAAAGGCGATTTGCACCAGAATTCATTCTTGATGTTGCCTTTACGGTCGATGGTGTAGGAGACGATATCGTCCGTAGCAAGGCCTTTGGCTTCGTAGCCATGACAGACGAGGGAGTCAGTGAAAGGATCGTATTTTGGGTGTGCAGTCATGGCCATTCCGGGAGCGCCGAAAGGGTCGTAGGATAGAGTTTCTAAAGTTTCCGGGTCCACGGCGTAAGGCAGGGCACTTTCCTTCATGGCCAAAAGTTTTCCGGCCCAGAGCATGAGGTTTGTATTTGCTGTGCTGTCGACTGCGGCTCGGACGCAGGGGTGGTGGGTAAATGGGTTGCGGTAGAGCCCGAAGAGAGCCTTTCCGGCTCGACGTTCGAGTTTGTAGCGTTCTGTCTCGACATATCTTGTCTTCATGTCGACTCTGCCGTTATGGAAGCGGAAGGCTGATATGTTGCCGTCGCCGTCGATTGGCACGTTGCCCTCTACTGGTGGAACGAACGGGTCGACCATGACTCGATAGAAAGTGCCATCGATCTCCTTCGGTATGGTGCCAAGTACGACAAGATCAGCGACTTCACCTTCAAGGCGGCAGGGGAGGTTGGATCCGAAAAGATCAAGGGCCACTGGCCATTTGCTCTTCAGTTCGTGTTTAACGTCGCCATTGCTTGTTTGGGGCGTGCCGTTGGCAGTTTTCTCGGCATCCACTGCACCGTTTTGAGAAACCTCGTTTGAGTCTACATCGTTGATCTTCCCCCATTTGTCCTTCATTTTCTCGTGGAAAAGGGTGATGGTGGTCGCCATGTTTGTGTTGCAGAGATCAATCTGGAAATCTGACAAATAGATGTTGCTGATAGGTTCCGGCCTGATGCAAGTGTAGAGAAGTAACAGCTATATATAAGGATAGTCGACTTCGGACTGCTTGCTGACCGAGCACCGATTCGTCGGTTGGGAGACCTGGTCCTGGTCGGATGCGCGGTTGTCTTGACGAGAGAGCTTACTGTCGCAGATCGGGGAGTAGCCACGGCAGTTGATTCTACACAAGTCTGTATGTTAGCTCATACGAAGCTGTGCGGATGCTTCTTAAGAATCGCGATGTTCGACTGTCCGGTCACCATGGAACGAAGAGCTAGCCTAGGAGGAGGCATTCATCAATAAGCTTTCCTCCACATGGCATCGGCAGTTGTGCTTCTCCACTGCCGTCAGGGACACCGCGCCTTTGTGCGGCTCATCAGTAACATCCCCAATGTCCCAGCATAATCCTGGTGCTCTCCACGATCTTCCCCAGCTCAGGTGATTCAAGGGAGGTGAGTTCGGGATTGCTACCTGGTGAGGCTGAAAGGCCAGCTTGCCGGACTGAAGTGTGCAATCGCTGCGGATACGGTAAATACGTACGGTACGCCAGCTCGCACGTAGGGAATCACAGGAGGCAATGAAATACATGCAATACACAGCGCCTGGCCCAGCGCATGATCGTCCTCTATATACCCAAAGTGAACTCGACACCAACGTCGATATCACGAGCTGTGAAAGAAAACTTTTGTTAGCACATGTCATCTCAAACGAAAATTTCATGGCAATGCTGTAGGCCTTACCAATCTTCACGACTTTGGAAAACTGCACACTCTTCTCAGCCGCTGTCTGTAGGTCATCAATCGAGAAGATCTTGAGACCGCTCTCATTGATCAACTTCTGTGCTTGTTCCATGTTGGTACCCTGTAATCTTGCAATGACTGGTGTTCGGAGGTTCATGCTCTCGACGACGGAGATGAGACCCTTGGCGATAGCGTCACAGCGAACGATACCACCGAAGATGTTAACGAAAATGGCGGTGACCTTGGGGTCAGAGGTGATGAGGTCAAAAGCCTGCTTAATGGCTTCTGGAGTGGCACCACCACCGACGTCAAGGAAGTTGGCTGGGCTGCCTCCGTTCAGCTTGATGATGTCCATTGTGTTGCTCCACTTCGACGGACGGACATCCACGGGACCGCCTGGAGTTCTCATTGATAAAGTTGAGACCAGCCTCGCCAGCCTTGACCTCGTCTGGGTCTTCTTGCGAGACATCTCTCCAGCTGAAGATCTCTTTCTGTCGGAACTCAGCATTGTCGTCAAAGTTGAGCTTGGCGTCCATGCAGAGGACTTGGTGATCGGAGGTCTCTGAAAGTGGGTTGATCTCGATCTGTGTGGCATCCTTCTCCATGAAGATCTTGTAGAGCTTCTTGATCGTGTCTGCAGCGGAAGGGATGCATTGCTCGGAAAATCCGAGCTTGGTTGCGACATCATTGGCCATCTCGTCGGTCACTCCCTTGTGAATGTCAATCTTGGTGGTGATGATGGCCTCTGGGGTTTCCTTTGCGACAGTCTCAATGTCCATACCACCCTGGCTGGAAGCGACAATGACAGGCGCCTGGCTTCCGCGATCCATGAGAATGGCCAGGTAGAATTCTCTCCTTGCGAACTTGCGCTCGACAATGTATACGGAGTTGCAGATTCTGCCCTTCTCGCCAGTCTGCTTTGTGATGAGCTTCTGGCCGATCATCTGATCTGCGAGAATGCTGGCTTCTCTTGGCGAGTAGACTATCCTCACGCCTCCCTTGAAGCCATTGGTGAAGTGACCCTTTCCTCGACCTCCGGCCAGGACTTGAGCCTTGATGACCATGTCTTCTCCTCCGATGGTCTTGGCCACCTCTTCAGCCTCCTTTGCCGAGTGAGCGACATTGCCTTTGGGCACGCCGATGCCGTAGGAATCGAGCAGCTGGGCGGAGCGGTATTCGTGGATGGACAAGTTGCGGACCTGCTGATGCGCGGCCTAGAATATAGCGTAGATAAACTTTTAGCACATGCGCAGCTAATGGGTGTCACCAAGTGAAGTGTGGCCTACGCGGAAGCTCTGCAGGTTGGAGGCAATTTGCCTGCTGCTTCTCGCGAGCTTGAACATCTTGTCCGCGCTCGCAAAAGGGTGTGGAAGAGAGGTGTTTCTGCGAAGTCCCACGGTAAACCTGAACTCAAGCTCTCCGATGCCGAGACGGAAGAAGCAAGCAAGCTTGAAAGCTTCAAGTGCGATCTCCTTTCCCGGCCTTTTCCGAAGCGTACTCAAGAACTACACCACCGCACAAACCTCCGGTATGGCTGTCACACAGGCTCATGAGGCCGATATATGGTTCAACAAGCTCGCTTTGAAGCAGCAACAAGCTCCACTATGCTCTGTCCAGACCAACGGGCACATTTCACAGAATGTGGAAAATGACCACGAAGACTTCGATACGCTAGACGATACTGCAGGCCTGGGAATGCCCAAGAAAGATGAGACGGACTCGCAAATACACCTCTTGCTCAAGAAGCGCAACATGTCCAACGATCGTCTATTAGAAACGCTCATTGGCAAGAAAGCCGCAGAAGCAAAACGAAAATCTCAAGCGGTGTCCAAGAGCAATATCGCATCAAACCATGCCGCTCCGAAGCCCGTAGTCTCTTCATCCAGGCCGCGAGAAGACAGCAGCGACGACGAAGAGGAGCTGGGTCGCGCGTCCGCATTTACGTCAAAGAGGAAGACAAGAGATCGAAATCTGCCAGCATACACGGTCGGTGGTGCACATTCTCCCGCTCATGTCCATATCGATGCACAACCTGAAGATCCAAGGGAGGATCTGGCGACTGTCAAAGCACTGGCGAATGGAGATCAGGCTCAGAAGGAGAAAGACAGCGGAGAAGAGTTCAAGCCTAGCAGGAGAAAGGCGACGAGTTATTTGGACGAGCTACTAAGCAGCAAGAAGAAGAAAAAGAAGAAGAGCAAGGGGAAGGCATAGTCTGATAGGATAAGATGAGCTCTGACACAACTACGAAAATCGTCGTTCTGATACGATGGACTTTTATTAACGTCTATTCTCTCACAATCAAACTCGCCATCCCCATCCCAGTACCAATACACATGCTAACCACACCGATCTCTTTCCCTTGCCTCTCAAGCTCCGGCAAAAGCGTAGCCAACTGTCTCGCGCCCGTCGCACCAAGCGGGTGTCCCAGCGCAATAGCACCACCCTTGGGATTCACCAATTCCGGATCAATTCCCAATTCCCTCACACAATACACAGCCTGACTCGCAAAAGCCTCATTAATTTCCCAAATTCCAATATCCTCTCTCCTCACGTTCGCATGCGCCAAAAGCTTCGGAATCGCGATTGCGGGACCAATTCCCATCTCATCGGGCTTACAACCCACGACTTGCGTACCCGCCCACTTTCCAATAATATGAGATGTGAGTCCTAGTTCGGCCGCCATAGATCTCCTCATCATAAGCGCCGCAGCAGCACCATCAGAAACCTGACTGGCATTCCCCGCCGTCGTAGCACCACCCTCTTTAAACGCAGCTTTCATAGTCGATAACTTCTCAACGCTTGAATTCGCTCGAATCCCATCATCTTTCGTGACTGTAATCCTCTCAACTTGTTCCGGGTGTTCAGGATCAGGAATCCATCTCGTTTCCACAGGCACAATCTCTTTATCGAAAAGTCCTGAAGCTTGAGCTTTGGCAGCTTTTTGATGCGAAGACACCGCGAATTCATCCATCTCTTTACGACCTACGCCGTAGCGTTCGCTTACGTTTTCTGCTGTGAGGCCCATGGACATGATACATTCTCGAGCATCTTTTACTGGACTTTGCTTTAAGTCTTCCCATAGTTGTGTGGGGATTGCTCGGGAGCCGTAGTTTCGTGTCATGCTTTCCATTCCGCCTCCGATTCCTATGTCGATTTCTCCTGTGGCGATTGCGTTGGCTACGCCTGTTATGGCTGCTAAACCGGAGGAACAGGCTCGGTTGACGGTTTGGAAAGATGTTCGATCGTGTACGCCAACGTGAAGAGCTGCCATGCGGCCTGCTTTGCTGCCGCCGAGCTCTGAGAGGACTGTGCCGATTTGGATGTCGTCGATTTTGCTTGGGTCGAGGTTTGGTGTGGCGGCTAAGGTTGCACGGAGAACGTGGGCGAGAAGTTCGTGGTCGTAGGCATCTTTGAATCCGCCTTTCTTCGCTTTTGTTACGGGTGTCCGTAGGGCGGAGAGGAAGACTATGTCGTCGGCGTGTTTCTTGAGGATATTCTTCGTGCCTTTCTGGAGGTAGCCGGCCATTCTGGATCGTCTATGCGGATGCTGCTTTTGGTTCTGGCAGATCGTCTAGAGCTATGCTCAGGCTCGCTCGTCCGGTTATGAGGAGTTTGGAAATTAGGAGCGCGATGTATGCGAGACCGCAAAGGATGGTGAGTATGGACAGCAGTAGAAGGAGAGAGAACGGAGACCTACGGTTCATGAAGGCGAGGCGAACATGTATCGCGGTATGGATCTTACGTTTGGTCAATGCTCTGGACGATGTCGGGGAGAGGAGCTCGACGTCGGGAGTTGCTTCGGATGTGGACGGGGTGCATGGGCCGATGGGTGAGACTTCAGCCGGCTTTGCGACTTCACCTCTCCTCCTCCATATCGACCCTCATATATGTAAATGCGCCTTGAGAGATCAACAGTCTCTCGTTGAGAGCCAAAGCAGCGCCAGGAAATAAGATACTCATGCTACATTCGTTCGAGAGAAGCTCTGCCATCGAACACGACTGTACATTACCTGGTGACTACGTGCCAACCAGCCTCTGAGGTCCTACGACGCTTTAAAACGATCTTGTAGCCCTACAAAAAGCCGTCTCGCATGGAGCCGTCTCGCTCCATAGAGCCTTTCGCAAACGAGACTACTCGAGACAACTCAGAGCACCTGGCTGCACCAGGCTTGTAAACGAAACATGTATCTGTCTAACTGAATATCTACCATCCGTCTCTGAACCGGTTCAGCTTCTCGAGCGACTTCTGTCAATCAGAGACAAAGCTTCACTTACGTCGCAGCTTCGAATAACCAGACATTCTTTCAACTCCAAGAGGTAACCAGCAAGCTCTCGCATTCCAGCCGGACCGCATCTCTTTGGTGAGAAGCTTGCTAGTTGAATGAACGGAATGGTCGAGAATGTCTGCTCGCCATAACTCTCCGACATGAAAAGCCTCCTGTTCCCTCACCAAACAGTGTAGAACCACCAACTTGGTTGCAATTGAACGAAAAGAACCATGTGGGAGCAAGTCGAAGCAGCGGTCAAAAAGATCACCAACCACATGTTTTCGTCCACCATATTGAAGAAAGTCATCTCCGACCCCAAAATCCTCCATTACTGCGACATCTTCGCCTACGCCTGCGCCTTGATCGCAGCGATGTGGACTACATTCAACTTCACCCAGCGTGCGCCGTTCCGAAAGGATGTCGCCGAGATGTTGGTCTACGCCATGATGGCTGTGTGGCAGTAAGTACTCTCGGTACAGGTATGATCTGTGATCCAGCTAACATCTTGCCCTGCTACTTAGATTTCATTACGGGTGGGAGAATGAGATGGGCATTGGGGAAACGGGGCTCATTGTGATCTCTATGATTGTCGCGGCTATCGTCGTATCCGGCTGTCTGATCTTCAGACTTGTCCAATGCGCTATGCCATTTGACACTCCGGAGAGCGAGGTGGGAAAGGACTCTTGAGGCCTTCTAATCGAGCGGAGGCTATTTGTGTTGGTGAAGTCCGGAGCTGGACGTCTTTACGTACAGGCCTCGGTCTGGAGAAGATCCTGTGAGAACACTCGTTTTTAGATGAACGACGCCTTCGTAACACATAGTATGCAGTGTCATGCTCTTCAAACCCTTCGTGCAACTCGAACCGCCTGAAAATCCACCGTGATACCCTCAGTGCTAGCCAATCCACCGACAGTCCAAGCCGGTTCAACGCGTCTACACCACAATTGTTCGAATCATCCCTCTCTGCACGGTTGATTCATGTGCTTGGATGTCACTATCAAGACGGCATGGATGTCGCAATAGCCCTCCTTAGCAAATCGGACACACTGACAATGTCGGAGCGGCCATCGCACCTTTACTCTCTGTGATGCACGCGTGCACACTTTCCGAGCAGACGGTGAGACTCCAGAACCATACCTGGCTTGAAGCCCCATGACTGCCACGCAGCGTGCTTCAAGCCTGAAGGCGGTTGAAGCGACCGCTAGTGTTTCGGTGGCTGGTGGGTTAATCCGGGTGAAATAGAACTTTTGAGATCGTACATGCACGCTGAGGTGGCTTGATCTATGGGCGCGGCACGCTCCGGGGATCACTGAGTCTTTGAAATCTTTCAATGTAAAAACGCGAGGAGACTCGCTGCAATTAAACTGCAGGAAGACGAGTGCAGGTCGCAGGTCCTCTAGCGAACCAGGATCATTTGGGATACTGAGTTCCTCCGCAAGCGATGTCGCATGAATAGCGAAGCCGTGTATACGACCGGCGTTCATCCACTTCCTTTAGCCTTGGTCATTGGGCCCCAGTTCTCTCTAGGGTTCTGCTGGTATCGCACGAGCTTCTTGGTCGATGCGTCTTTGCCCAGCAACTCATTGAAGATGATTTTCTTTTGTGACGGGTCAGCGCCATCATTCTGCCGCTGGCCTACAGTGACAATATCGGGTGAAGCATCATCGCTGCGTGGCTCATCCTTGGTGGTAATCTCGTCCTTTGCCTGAGCAGAATTCAAAATCTTCCAGCCAGCTTGCGTCTCTTTGAGGGCACCTTCCTTGATAGGCTGCTTCTGTCGAACCCACTCCCGCATAACTCGCCAGATATCACTCCATGGGGCGTCGGTCTTGATACTGCCAGCCTGACAATGACTTCGGGTGGCGATGTAACCCAGGCCTCGAAGCGCACCACGTACTGCTACAATCCCAGGCGCAACGCAGTGAATGACCTTCGACAGGGCAGAAGGGTTGAAGAAGAATGGATGCAAATCGATTGCTTCCGGCGGCACTTTTGGAATCATTTCGTCGCCGTCTTTGCGCTTATGAGCAGGGATGTACGTGGTGACCTCCCTGTTGACAGAAAGCTCGTCCAAGGCAGTGGTAAGCATGCCCTCAACTCGTGCCTTGGTCTCGTAGACCTTTGGATCTGCACTTTCGAGGTCCTCCAATACCTTTTGTATGAACGCTGCGTTGTGGATAGGTCCGCCCCACATCGGTCCGGCGATGTGTGACTTGCTGCCACAATGCTCGCAAAGTCGATCGACACCTGGACCTTGCGCAATAGTATGCTTGTACCATACTGTGCCATTCTTCGCCGCCTGCTCGGTATTTCGACCAATCATATTCGTGGACCAAGCACCACACCCACTGTCGCAGGCGTACACAAGCATGGTCTTACCAGCGAGAAACTTGACGTCTGCCGGGCTCTTTCGAACACGAATAAAGACACGAGCATAGAAGTCGATGCTCAGGGAAAGAAGTGGCTCGATGGCCATGCCGTGTCTGGCGGCAGCGCTTGCCACTGAGTTGATGATGAGTCGCAGACCACCTTCGTGCATGTGTGAGCCTTTGATAGGCATGCCTCCGTAAAGCGCGAATGTCTTCTCGCAGTAGCCAAGACTGGCGAAGACACCAGAGTCGGTGCATGTTACACACAGCAAGCCGCCATCATTGATAGCTTGCAAGGCTGCATCAATGAAAGGCGCCGCTGTGCCATATGGGTCTAGATCAATCACATCGTACTTTTGACTGACATGCTTCGGACCATGAGAGTGTGTAGGAGGGTAAGCGACAGTATACATGTGACCGATGGCGTCTCCCAAGTTCGGAGTGATCTGTTCTGTGAGGTCGTTGTGCTGAACATTCATCTTCATGCTGGTGATGGCATTCGAATTCATGTCGTTAGCCACGACGGCAGTCACAAATGGAATCTCCTTGGCGTATCGCAGTGCACGCAGACCAGTCGCAGACAGAGCATCCAAAATCCGAAACCGTGGTCCTGTCGGCTTTGAGGTGTGACCATTCGTGGCGGCATGGCCATTAGGCTGTCCATTGCCAGCATTCTCGCGTGACCCAGAGTCATCATCAATATCAGACGCGGACGCTTGAGGAAGATTGGCGCCGTCTTGTTCAGCATCAGTGCACTCTACAGCACTTGGAACTTTGACTTGAGCTGGCTGTGCATCATCTGTCGCGGACACCGCTGTGCCATCTTCCAACTTTCGTCTCTTCACAGCATCATCGTCGTTGGTCGGTGGCGTCTCAGCGTCTCCCGCATTGCGCTTTTTCGAGTTGCCATCTTTCTGTTCTTTCCTGGCCTTCTTATTCTGACTCTTTTGTCGCGTCTTCTCCAATTGTGCCTTCCGCCGCTGTAGCCAGTCCTCACCAAAAGCTTTGATTGCGAGAACACTCAGATCGCGATTGAATTGGTGAATTGGATTGTAGAAGACTCTTT